CGCCGCGGGGCAGAGCGCGACGCGCGCCCTGGTCCACGACACCCTCGCGCCCCTCCCCTCCATCGCCTTGCTAATAAGGTCCCGGGGGGCAGGGTTGGCTCGGATCAGCCCGGATGGATCCGGGTGGCGCGCTCCCCCCGGCCGAGCGATGACGGCGTGAGTAGAAGGTATAGCGGGTGGTGGCGAGTACCCCCTCTCCGCCCCTCCCCCGCCTTCCGGAGGGCGTTGCCCCTTTTCGGTTCGGTTTCGGTTTCTTATACTTTTTCTCCCCTACACATTTCTCGTTTCCGCCGTCCGCAGGGACACGATCAGCGCGAGGGAGAGCACCATGAGCGGGGCGCTGCGGTGGTACAACGCCGTCAACACCATCCTGCTGGAGCACCTCACGCGCCAGATCAAGGAGACGGACAAGAGCGGTGTCTGGAGGTACACCGGCTCCCGGGTGAACGTTGTCATGCCGCGTCATTGGCTCCATCTCACCGCCGCGCGGGGTTGCTCTTGTTGTTCCGACATGAACAGGTACTTGATCGCGTTCAAGAACCTGTTGCGGAGCGTCGAGCACACGGGCATCTCCATGGTCCACGGCATCAACTACTTCGGCGTGGGCGTGCTGGTCAACGAGTCGTACATCAGCTACGTGCACCACGACGCCATCGGCAGGGACCTGCTCAACGCCTCCTTCACCTACGTCCCCTCCATCAGGACCACGTACCTCAACCTCACCAGGCAAGCGCCATGGGCAATCCTGGGGAAACCTCAAAGCGAAGTGGTGCCGTTATTATTTTCCATTAAAATCTGAACTGATAATTTAATCTTTTATTATTATTATTGGCAGCAACCTGTCCGAGTACGGCAACCTTCGGGCGCGGCGCCGCGAGGTGATGGCCAACCTGCCGCGGTCCTCCAGCCTCGGCGAGGCCGAGGCCTACTTCCGGTCCATGGCCGGCTACCTGGAGAAGCTGCGCACGCTTCTCAAGGAGCTGCGCAGGAAGATCAAGTGAGCGGCTTCCACGGCAACGCGAGCGCGCCGGCCGGCGGCCTCGGTGTGAGACTCTCTGCTTTCCGTTTGCGCAGGAACTACGTGGAGCGCAGCCTGCAGGAGGCCAGCAGCCAGGAGTTCATCGGCATCGCCATCCTCGTGCTGGTGCTCATCGTGTCGCCCGTCATCATCGTGCTGGTGCGCAACGCCGTGGGCACCATCCAGATGTACGCCGCGCACCTGGCCGTCAAGGCCCGCGAGCTCAAGCGCGAGAAGCGCAAGAGCGACTCGCTGCTCTTCCAGATGCTGCCGCCCAGCGTGGCGCAGCAGCTCAAGCAGACGCAGCAGGTGCCCGCCGAGTACTACGAGGCCGTCACCGTCTACTTCAGCGACATCGTCGGCTTCACCGAGATCGCGGCCGTGAGCTCGCCGCTGCAGGTGAGAGCGTGACACGAGTACTTTAACTCATCCAGAAAACCACGAGTGTCTTGTTATTACCTGTTATTACTCATGTCGGCTGACGTCGGGTGCCCATTCTGCGAGTGAATGACTTCCCCCATGACACCCCGCAGGTCGTCTGCTTCCTCAACTCCATCTACAGACTGTTCGACGCCCGCATCGAGTGCTACGACGTCTACAAGGTGGAGACCATTGGCGACTCGTACATGGTGGCCTCCGGGCTGCCCGTCAAAAACGGTTGGTTCTTGATACGAGACGCGCGTGTTGCCCCCGCGGCAGGTGGCTGGTCCGCCTCCGCCAGCCCACCTCCGTCGTAGTGAGGGTGAGACTGTGCCGCATGCAGGGGAGCGCGCGTGTTGCCTACCTGCACGGGGCACGACCCCCGCAAGTCGTATGGGTGGACCACTTGGATATGCCATGTACACACTGAAAAAATATTCCAGATATTCCATGTACACCAAAAATCTGAGTGGTCGACCCCTCGCACGTCCTGTACTCGAGAAACTGCGGGTGGGGACGGATCGCATCAGCCACCTGGTGAGTAACGCGATACGTTGTGTCGTTGACGCTATGCTCGGTAGGCGACAGGCACGTGTCGGAGATCGCCACCATGGCGCTGGACCTGCTGGCCGGCTCCATGGCCTGCCGCATCCCGCACCGGCCGCACGAGAAGCTGCAGATCCGGTCCGGGGTGCACACCGGCCCCGTGGTGGCCGGCATCGTGGGCTCCAAGATGCCGCGCTACTGCCTGTTCGGCGACACGGTCAACACGGCCTCTCGGATGGAGAGCACGGGCGAGGGTGAGTATAGGCGACATGATCCCGCACCGTGGCTGCTGCCGCCGCCCTCCCTCAACCTTTGCTTCGCTTACAGCCCTCCGCATTCACATCAGCGGGGAGATGAAGCAGGCTCTGGACGTCGTAGGGGGCTTCCGCACAGAGCACAGAGGGCTGGTCGAAGTCAAGGTGAGTCGGACCACTCCAGCGACCAGCGGGGGGACGTGACGGCGTGTGCCGAGTGCTGAGAGTCACCGAGCGCTGCGTGGAGTTGCAGGGCAAGGGCATGATGGACACGTACTGGCTGACGTGCAAGGAGGGCGGCCTCGGCCTGCTCGGCCTCAACGCCGGGACGGCGCCCGACACAGAGATCCAGGCCAACATGCTGGACGACGCCTACAACGCGCAGCCAGCCTTCCTACGCCGCCTGCGGGGCCTGCGCGGCGAGCGCTACCTTTAGCGACGACTGATTTCATTTGTATTTCATAAGTTGAAAAAAAAATAATTCTGAATAATGTTTGAAGACGGGCGAACTATAATGAACGACAAACGTGGTAATTTACCAAGACCCTTTCCTTTATATATTTCACAGACTGTTCTGAATGTCATATTATTAATGTTAACAAGGGAGTATTTGAGCTTCCCTGGATAGGGTGAAAGATCTGCTCACATAAATTATCAAATTCTAAAATCCAACAGCTTTGCTTCATGTTTAGGTAAGCATCTAATTCAAATACATACAAAAGCTAGAATTTGGAAAGGGTTTCTATCTAAGAACACCATAAAACACCAAGGCGGGCAGGCAGATTGATTGTCAAACTTCATAAACGAATGAAAGGTCTAAAATGTCTCATGCATTTTCTTATTATTATTTTTTGGATATGTACGTACAGTACTGAACATGTTACCAACTAGAAGTAGAATGGAACAATTAAGTTAAGTTG